TGAAGGGCTTTTTAAATTGGATTTAAGAAATATAAAAGTCTTGATTAAATCCAATTCAAATTTCAAATTCAAATAAATTTAATTTAGAAACTTTCCTAAAATATATTTAGTAATTTATAAAGATTTTAAATTTCAAATCGATTGAATTTGAATTCTAAAATATGTCCAAATTAGGCAAGGAAAGCAATGGGAAGAGGGGAGCTAGGGCCGGCGGGTTGGAGGGGCTCGGGTATGGGGGCCAACGGCTAGGTGGGAATTTATGTGGAGTTTGGTTGAGCGAGGGGACATGCTCGGGGAGGGAGAAAAACCGTGGGTGTGATGTTGGCCGGTGGTGGTGGAAGGAGAAAGGAAGAGATATGAAATAGAACCACGAACCCGACTCGTCTAGGTTGGTGGATGATGCACAATTCTCCCTCTTTTAGGGATCTCGCTCCGATTTCTCAAACTCTCACAAGAACTCATGCAAGAGGCATTGTCATCCTTTTATGTTGTGAGTCATTATAAGAGACACTTACTCAACAATAGAATTAGGGCTTACAAATGACCTCCCTTAATAAAAAGGTTCAATGGGAAACTAATAAAGCAAATACAATATTACATCATAAATAAGAAAATACATAAAGTAAATCAGAAATACAATGACTCAATCGTGGCCTTAGATCGATGGCCACGTCTCTGATAGATCTTCCTAGATCTGATGTCCCCAATCCCCATCATTCTCCTGAGGTGGGAGAAAGCTCGACTCCGTCGAGTAACTGTCTCTGATGCTTCGTAGATCTCTAATGCATTGGGGTCAATCTGCTGCAACTCTTCACGATCCAACCCAGTTTCCTCTGACTCGGGTTTTCCTTTCCACCTGATCAAGTACCTCCTTCGTCCACCTTCCCTTGTGGATATGATATCATCACTCAGGATCGAGTCCACCTTTTCTGCCATGGGTGATTTGTGAATATTTGGTAGTGGTGGTAGGTTTGGGTTCTCACACGGTGGGTTTACACAAGGTTGTTGTATGAGTGAATTTGGTGGGTTAAAATTAGGACCTTCATATGCAGCTAGATCTTCTATTTAAAAGAGGGATTGATGTTGAATTCTACAGGCAGATCTACTACATAAGTATTATCATTGATTTTCTTAAGTATTTTGAATGGTCCAACACTCTTAGCATGTAGCTTATTAACTGTTCCCTGTTCCCCGTGGGAACTGTTCCCTGTTCCCCGTGGGAATCGTTCCGGACGAATCCGCACCATCACGGAGTCATTAACCTCAAAAGTTTTAAATTGCTAGGGTGAGGACATCACCTAGGTATGATTTTAAGCTCACAAAATGGCAGCTACCAGTGGCTGGAACAGCAAGGACAACAGCCTACACTAAGGGTGTAGTTATCCTAAGCACTTAGAAGCTTTGTTTAAAATTGCGCAATAAGAGGCGCGCCTCTGCGCAATTTGATCAAAAAATGCCTCAAGGCTTATGCAATTCCTCACCTGGTAGGGGCGTACGCCTCACCTGGTCTGAGGCGCGCCTCAGAGGCGCAATTGCGCAATTCTGAGTGAGGCGTACGCCTCACAGAAATGGCCACGTGCAACATAAATGGCCAGCTTTATCCGTCCAGGCCAGTCAATTGTCGGCCCATCAGATCTCCCATAGAGCAGTCGGTCTAAACTTCCATGGTAGAGCCTCTCATAGACCAACATTCTTTGATCAGAACCCTCACGTGCATGGAAACCAAGCAACTTACAAAGTTGGGGATGCTGCAACGATGCTATGGTGTTCACCGCATTGATAAAATCATAAAATCTTTCAAATTCTGCTAGTATCAAGTATTCACAATTAGACATTACAATAAATAAAGTATCTAGGAATTGAAGGTAAATTAAACACCAATGTAAAAGCAGAATCGAGGTCATTGTTATGAAAACATAAAGAAATGCATGCAACATTGACATACAATAGAAAATGAAAATTGTAAAGAAGAATGCTAATACAAAAATGTTAAGGGCATTATTAAGAAAGCATACATAAATGCAAACAAAGTAGATAGCTCATGAATACTCCATCTCTATTTCAACTTTGGTAGTTTTGTTAAACTAATATTTTGTGATTTTGTACTTTGTGACGTGATTTTATTGCATCTATTTTCTTACTTTTCACTATTTTCATATATCATTTATATGTTTTTATTGTGAGATAGAATATTGCTATTATTTATCTGCTAAAACCCTTAATTTCTCATTTACGCAATTATGTGTCCGTGAGGCTTACGCCTCGAGGCTTACGCCTCGCCTCACGGACGAAAACCGCCTCGAGGCTTAATTACGCAATTTTAAACCTTGACTGATTCTATTCTTCAAATTCCTAAAGAAATTGTATGAGTGAATTTGGTGGGTTAAAATTAGGACCTTCATATGCAGCTAGATCTTCTATGTTAAAAGAGGGATTGATGTTGAATTCTACAGGCAGATCTACTACATAAGTATTATCATTGATTTTCTTAAGTATTTTGAATGGTCCAACACTCTTAGCATGTAGCTTATTAACTGTTCCCTGTTCTCCGTGGGAACCATTCCGGACGAATCCGCACCATCACGGAGTCATTAACCTCATAAGTTTTAAATTGCTAGGGTGAGGACATCACCTAGGTATGACTTTAAGCTCACAAAATGGCAGCTACCAGTGGCTGGGACAGCAAGGACAGCAGCCCACA